CACACGACCGTAATACGGCGCATACCAAACGGGTTATTTACGGCCCGTATACGGTCGTAATTTCGACGGATACGGCCGTTCACGTCATCGTAAACGACTGTGTACGGCCGTTTACGGGCACTGTAATGTTCGACCTGGGATGATATGGAAAGCTATAAATGAACAGGAAAACATAATCGATGAAATTGCTATATTTAAGAAATGGCTTGAAGTTCATGCACAAGACTCATCATACAATCTTCAGGGCACACAATTACCGAATATCTACCATATATTGGTATCACTCAGCTTTCAAGAACAAGCATTATCAACCGAACATATTGCTGAACAAACAATTACTAAAACCGAAGAAATCATACAACACTATATCAAGATAGCCAACATGGAAAAAAATAAACTGCAAGCAACAAAATCTCATTATAAAAATGCTCATTTACTCGAGCAAATCATCCATGCCATACTTCAACGAGAAAATAATATGCATCAACGGCGTGCATATGAACTGCAAGAAAAACTTTCTAACATATTCAACCACACACCAATTCCACAGATGGACATGCAACTCAACGTATAACTTAACTGAACCCTACAAAAACTCTATTGTCTTCAAATTGAACATTCTATCCTATATAAACCTATACATACACCATATAAATGATGAAATAAACATTTGAGAAAAAACTTCTTGACATATTAATAAGACCTTTTTTCTTTCGTTTCAGATCATACACATACACAAAGCTCTACCTCCATTCCATTGAAACTCAAAAAAAAATAAAAAAATTCGTATGATCGCATCAGCTATGGACAAATTATCATATCAACACTTCTAAAAGATACTGCGAAGCCATTTACATATCATAATTATTCCTGTACATGAGTATATATTTTTCCAGGTAGCATTTTCCATGTGAAGTATTCCATTTCAACTTACATTTAGATTTAAGATCTCTAATATTCCTGCGTAGATCACTTGATAAGATGGAGCATTAGTAACATTCGAAATAATCTAAAATTAGGTATCGTGGTAAATTATACACACCCACTACTATTGTGAGTGCATCTACTTGAGGTTCGCCTTCAAAAGTAGATATTTTCAGGTATCATGTTTGGATTCAAAGTCTCTTCGGATCCACTACAACTGGTACTGAGGCCACTTGATGAGATTGAGCATTAGTAACATTCCAAATAATCTAAAATTAGGTTATCGTGGTAACTTATACACACCCACAGCCGCACCCAAATACTGGGAGACCCATTCTTTCTAAGACACCCGTAAGTAGCAGTGGCATCACGCGTTTTTGATCCACGGCTCCAATAAACATGGACAGTGTACGTTTTTCTGTTCTATGAAATAATAAATGTCACATATTCAGTGTGTTTTTGACAAGAGTATGTCAGATCACTCACTGATTTTATTCGTATCTATCTTTAGTACCCCTCCTACTTTTCAATACGATTGACTTTTTGTCTCATCGTCCATGACGCTAATTTTAAATATTTCGACACGTACGTGTGGTATTATGCAAATCAGACTCAATGTGCGCCGTTGACTGTTGTCTCGTTGAAAGAGAATTTTGTTTATGTTGATCGTCTGCGAATTCGTCAACCTAACGATACTCATTTTGTTCTCGGTCCGCATGTAGACGAACATAGCATTGAACGATTGGAAGATCCGGAGCAGAGGCCGAAATCGAACCGACTTAAATATTTATGCAAAAGGACATGGGAGAAGTCAATCAACCTAGAAAACTGTGGAGATATGTCGATTATATTATGATGATAACGAAAATGAGGGAAGATGAGGTAAAGAACCACGTCAGTCAGCTCAATACAATCAGAAGAAGGATTCGATTCACTCACGAATATGAGCGACGTAGAAAAATCAACTTCTTGAATACTACGGTGTCGAGAAACAACGACGGAACGGTCGATATCCGATGGTTCAGAAACGACACGGTAGCAGATCGATTGTCGAACTATAATTCAGTCCATTACAAGTCAGTAAAAAGAAACATCATCACAAACATGGCGTCTAGAATTATTCAAACAATCAAGAACTCCGTCGAACAACAAGAGGATTTCAACATGTTGAAGAGCATGCTCATCAAAACTTCGACGATCTTTTTTTTCTGGATCCGAGAGCTTTTTTACGTAAATAAAGACGAATTTCTTTTTCCAAGGTAAGCAAAAACAAGTTTCTGGCATGTTACAGAATGGCTGTGTCATAAATTTCGCACACCTTTATTTCACAGAGCAATGAGCTGAGACAACATAGGGATTCACACTGACAAGGCTGACAAGGTGAGAGAAGCCAAACGATGTTTTTGAAGCAAGAGAGTGTCTAGTCTCGTGCGACCATAGCAATAGTACGAAATCTACTTCAGAAGTGTAGTCCTTTATAAAGTCTGTGTCTACTACAATCAAATGACATACAAATATAAACAAAATGTTACTACAAGGTTTAAATTTTAACAGCATGGGCAGCCAATAGATTAATCGATTTCAAATAAACGTATTCAATACGGAAGTGTTCATCCCATATATTTTTTAAAACCAAATTCGGTAGATCCGCATTGTTACTGTTCGTTGCTGTTGTGACTTGCTTTATACGTGGATCGATGACGACGTCTCTCAAAAATCTTCCGTTTGATGGTTCACAAGAGTCATCGTGCAAAATTTGTTTCCAACAATCAAACGTGTAAACACCTGATGATTCTGCTTCTGTTGCACCAAGAACGCACCAACCAACTGGACTTGTAAGCATGCCAGGTGCCAAGCTGGCAGCTCCACAAATGGCTGATGCGACTCCTGCACCAGTTCCAAAACCAGTGATTGAAGCCACTGCCGCCCCTTGAACTACACCAGTTCCTACTGCACCAACTTTCGTGGCGGCAACCGAACCCATCATTGCGCTAGCAGCTCCTCCCACTGCCGATGCTGCAGCCACTGTTGTTACAGTTGGTACCGTTGTAATTGCTGCATTATTACCGCCAAGTACTGCACCACTAATCGCGCCAGCGGCAGCACCTGTTGCAAGCACTCCATTGGCTGCTGGGATGGCAACGATAGCTCCAGTTACAACAACCGTTTCAAAACAGACGACTTCTGATAATTGTTGTGAATAATATTGGCGAAGAAATCAATTACGTACACAAGATACGCTTTATGTTCACTATCTGAAATATGGAAAATAGAAAAAAAGAAAGCGTTAATGCAATATCTTCAATGAAAGGAGATGGACTACTGCACCAGAAAATTTGAACGAAAAAATATTTGAAGAAAACACAAAAACTTTTATTGATACAAGTGTAGTACATCAGAAACTCGGTCTGTATTACAATCAAACTACATAATAAATGGTGTCGGACTCACTTTTATACTTTAATAGCATGAGCAGCTAATTGATTACTAGAACCCAAACAAACATACTCAACACGAAATTGTTCACCCCATACATTTTTTAAAATCAAATTCGGAAGATCGCCATTGTTGTTGCTTGTTGTCACTTGTTTGACACGTGGATCCAAGACGACGTCTCTCAACAATTTTTCATTTGATGGTTCAGGTGAATCATCATGTAAAACCGGTTTCCAACAATCACATGTGTAAACGCCAGGCGATTGTTCTTCTTCTGCACCAAGAATAACCCAACCAACGGGGCCTGTAAGAACACAAGCCGCAATAGACGTCATTGCGCCAGCAGAAGCCGCGCCGGTGGCTGCACCTGAAACAACCGACACAAATTCTAGGTCGTGCACCTCTTATTTTCAGCTCTTTCTCCCTCGAATTTAATGAAGCCTCTATTCTGTGGACCACGCGTCAGCAATGCACTCAGAAAAGAAAAGAACCGGAAATCACCACAGCTATAGTTAACAGATAACTTACCCCCAACAGCACCTGCCACTGCACCAGTACCTGTACCTGGGTGTGGGTGTGGGTGTGGGTGGGGGGGCGGGTGTGGGGGTGGGTGTG